TCTATAATGAGATCTGGCACCCTCCTCTGGCCTGCAGGCATACATGGAGGCAGAATGTTGTACACATAATAAATAAATAAATCTTTAAAAAAAAAAAAAAAGAAAATTAGACATTTTCACTGGGTGGTGATGGCAGATGCCTTTAATCCCAGCACGGGGGAGGTAGAAGCAGGTGGATTTCTCTGAGTTCAAGGACAGTCTGGTCCATAGCCCAAGTTCCAGGACAGTGAGGACTACACTGTCTCAACCCCCTCCGCCGCAAATGAAAACATCACAGACACTTTCCCATTTACCCATCTGACTAAAATAGTATGTCAATTATCTTTTGGATTCAGGTCCCTACAACAAAAACGATGGCAACTGCATGAATGCAATTAGTATATACAAGGAGCTGGAAGATGGACAAGAAAAGATGGAACTCTTCTCTGTTGGCATTACTCTATCTGGGGACAGCCCAAGGCTTCACTAGTAAAAGTAGTCAAAGGAAGAAGTTGCCTGGAAAAAGTGTAGCAAATGGGGGGCTGGAGAGATGGCTCAGTGGTTAAGAGCATTGCCTGCTCTTCCAAAGGTCCTGAGTTCAATTCCCGGCAACCACATGGTGGCTCACAACCATCTGTAATGAGGTCTGGTGCCCTCTTCTGGCCTGCAGGGATACACACAGATAGAATATTGTATACATAATAAAATAAATAAATAAATATTTAAAAAAAAGTGTAGCAAATGCTAGGATTCCGATCATACCTTCTAAGGGGAGAACGAATTTAGATTCATCTTTCCAGTTGTCTGTCCCTTTTGGGAAAACCAGGTACCAACTGCAATTCAGCAACATTTTAAATACCTTGTGGAGGGAGCAGAATACCTGAGCTACAAGTAACACTGTACCTTGGGTTTCCAGTTTCTTTGGAAGTCGGTTGTCTGTTTTATTCAATAGCTCAGGAATTTTGACCTTCGGTGGTCGACCTCGGCCCCGCTTCACTTTTGGAACTTCCTTGTTCTTGGCCTTCTCATTATTTCGAGGTCGGCCTCGTTTGCCAGTAATTGCTTGAATTCTGGAAGGAATCTCCTCTGCGGATAACTGGACCCACTGCAAGCCCTACAGGAACAAGGACACTGGTGTTGAAAGGAGACAATCAGTGCAGGTCTCTAAGCCCTCTAAACTACCCCAGACTCTTTGAGCGGCCAAATTACACGAAAAGAAGCTATAATTTGTTCCCCAACTATTTAACCCTTGGGTCAGCACCTCTGGTGTGTCTCTTTCTTCAAAGAAATCTCCAACAGGCATGCGGGGACTGAAGCTGAAGTGCTCACGGCGGACACTGTGTACCACATTTCGGCTCAGGTACTGAGAGGAAAAGTGACATTAGTAAAGCCATAGCCCTACCATGTCAGTTATAACACAACCAGAATAGGTCTCAGAACAGGCGACGCCAGAAAAAGTACTTTAAAAGCTACAAACGCTGTTACCTTGATAACTTCCGGAAACTGTTTCATTCTCTTCCCACAGGGGCCATAATACCAAGTCTCCCCCTGCCACCGATGGCAGCCCTTCTTGATGCGCACTTCTCTCCGCCACCTGCCAGAGAAGCACATGGGCCCTGCCACCAGGTCACACCCCTACCCACTCCCATGCCACCCAGGAGCCAAGCCCACTGAGCAGATGCCCTCTCCATCTGTCTCACTAGCCCTGCATACACGTCGACCTACAGACAGTCCTACATACAGAAACAGCACAGCACATGAGCTTGACAAACAGGCTCACATTGCTTGAGCAAATACTTCAGGAAGAAAACAATACACCAATGCACAAAGATCTCCACCCCTCCTTTTTATGAAGCTACTGAAATGAGCAGCTAGAAACTCTTAATAGCCCTGGCTCAGGTGCAGAGGAAAGTGTAAAAGTAAACTGGAAGCTGACGCCATGACCTAAGTAAGTAGGGCAGGTTTAGTCAGTAGCTATGATCTGAGCAGTAGATTATGACAGCCAGCCTTATCCTCATCGCCAATGTTGCATTAGTTCTAAGACTTGGTGACAACCAGTAGACCAGAGTGGTTGTGGTGAAATTAGGAAGACAGTTATTTCTAGAAGGTCTTCGATGATAACTGGTTTGGTCATTACATAGTTACCATTCCAGAGCTTAGCTCTCCAGAGAGCAATAAAACAGAAACTATTACATCACAAAACCATCCAATTCACTGGTAGAAAGTCTCTCTTCCACACTGCTATCCCTCTCTTTGAAAACAGTTTTGTCTAGCTACTCTGGATACTTGAGCCTTAGCTTGGAAAAGGATCTTTGATCAAGATCAAGTAACCAGCAGATGAGTAAAGAATTTATTTATGGGGCTGGAGAGATGGCTCAGAGGTTAAGAGCATTGCCTGCTCTTCCAAAGGTCCTGAGTTCAATTCCCAGCAACCACATGGTGGCTCACAACCATCT